CTGGTCTACATAGTGAGTTCCAGGCCAGCTGGGGCTACAGGGAGACTCTGTCTCAAAAAGACCAAATTAAAGAAAAAAAGATAAAACCAGAATTCATCCTCTTATTGTCTGCAAGAAAGCCATCTTAGCTTTAAGGACAGACACTACCTTAAAGAAAATATGGAAAAAAAGATATACCAAGCAAATGGTACTAAGAAAAAAGCAGGCGTTGCAATTCTAATAGCTGATAAAATAGACTTTAAAACTAATCAGAAGAGATGAAGAGGGTCACTTCATTCTGATCAAAGGAACAATAAACCAAGGGGATACTACAATCATGAACATATATTCTCCAAACTCTGGTCAACACAGAGGAAATATTTGCTTATTTAAAATTATTTATTTATTTTTACGTTATGTGTCTGAGTGTTTTCCCTGCATGTATGTAAATGCACCCATATCAGGCAATTCCCGCAGAGGCCAGAAGAGGGCATCAGATCCCGTGGAACTGGAGGTACTCATGGTTATGTTTGTTAATCGCCATGTAGGTGCTGGGACTCGAACGTGGGTCCTCTAGAAGAACAGCCAGTGTTCTTAACTGCTAAGATACCTCTCCAGCCCCTATATATTTTATTTCTGAAATACAAAGGCAAGAATCAAGTCAGTGGAAGTGCATAGTGTACAACAGTGGGACAAGATTCAGTCTAAAGTAATAGCAATATAGTTAATGAAACTTAGCAGTAACTTTTCAAAAGCTATAGAAAGAAATCCAAGAGACATTTAGAATCCCAAATAAACATGATGAAACAAAAATCCATATGAATTTCACAATAGATGCATAAAAGGCGCTTTGCAAAATTCAGCATCCCATCTCCCCCAAAATGTTCAATAAAGCAAAAGACTATACCTTCAAGCAAGGATTATATAAAACAACTACAACATAATAAACAGCTAATAAACAGAAATTGTTTCCTCTAAGATCTGGAACTCAACAAGAATCTGCTCATTCCCCACTCTTCTTAGGTGTACTATTAAAAGTCTCCCAGGCTGTCAACATTGCTCAGCCGGTAAAGGCATTCCTGCCAAATCGATAATCAGTGTTACATCCCCAGGACCCATATGGTGGAGGGAGAGAACCTACTCCCACAAAGTTGTCCTTTGACTTCTGCACACATGCTGTGGCACAGATGTGCTCACACACATGAATACATGCATACGTGCAAATAAATGAACAAATAAATGTAATACAATTTTGTTGTTTCTTTCTTTTTTTTTTAGACAGTCTCACTATGTAGCCCTTATTGACCTGGAACTCACTATGCAAATCAGTCTGGCCTGGAACTCAGAGACTGCCTCTGCCTCTGAGTGCTAGTATTAAAGACATGAGCCACCACACCTGGCATAGTAAAATGTTTTAAAAGTTTCTTCCCATAGCTATGATCTAAGCTAAAGAAACAAAGGGCATCCAGTGCAGCAAGAGGAGTGTGAGATGGTCCTTATTTGTAGATCAAGAGAGACTACAGAGAGAAAAGCTTAAGGCTCAAGTAAAGGAAAAGTGGTAATATAATTCAAGTTGCAGAATACAAAGTCAAAAGACAAAAACTGTCGGGGTATTCAGGGCTGCCAGGTGTAGGCTGCCCGCCCCCTGGAGAACATCCAATGGGTTATTGGCATAGCCTATCCTGGCTGGCCCAGGGTTGGGGCATAGGCCCTTGGAGAGTAGCTAAGGGGATATTGGTAAAGCCTGTCCTAGCTGACCCAGGGCTGAGCCTGTACAGGTCAGTCTCTGATAATCAGTCTCAGGTACATGTTTTTCTCTTAGTGGTTCTGTGTGGGTGCTGCTTATACAATTACATATTATAAATGAAACAGGTAGATGCCTTTGTCTCAGAAGTTCTGCTTGGCTACTGCGGGATGCAAGTACATGTGATTAATGAAATTGTGATTATTGAAACTGCATGGTTCAAAGGAACTTGTGGTTTTATGCTCTATTTCTATAGTAGATTTTTTTTCCTGCTTTGAGTCAAGATATAAAAACATTGTTATCCTGCAATAAAGCACCTGCATGGTCATTGGCCTATAGGTCCTGATCCCAGATGTTTCTGTCCGTCCTTTTTCCTTAATCCCCTACCCTTTCCACTCAGGTTTTATGATCCCTGAAGCTGGACTGTGGTACCTGATACCTGAACAGGGACCCTGAGTATGGGAGAGTGAGTGTCTGGACAATATTAAACACAAGAACACAGAGTTTTCAGGTAAGGGGACCATCAAGAGAGGACGGAATAGTCAGGAGTAAAAGATGGGAGAGTCAGGCTCTAAGGAGCCTGCTCTCTTTAAATGCTTTGCTCTATGCTTCATGCTCACTCTTGTAATGTTGCAGTTAAATGCTTGGAATGCTTTTTAGGTTTTGTGCAGGAAATTTGTCCCTGGTTTCCTGAAGAAGGGACTGTTGACTTGGAAATTTGGGGAAAAGTAGGTTAAAAATTAAAAGATGAGTATGGGGTGTGGGGTCTGCAATTTTTTCCAGTTGATGCTTTTGCTTTATGGAACCTCATTCATGATTGTCTTGATCCTCATCATGAGGTTGACTCACCATTTTTCTAAACCTGCCTCCCCTGAACATAGAACAATAGGTGTTTCACCAAAACCAACAGCACTTTCAGCAGCGGCCCCCTTCCTGTGGTCCCAGTGGTAGCCCCTTATCCTCAGGATGGTCTAGAAATGAAACCTCTGAGTGCCATGAAGGTGCCTGTGTGTCTGGCTTCTACAGTTCCTGATCATAGCCAGTTACCTGAGGAGAGCATCAGGGACATTGTGACACCAACGCCTACCTGGCATACATGCTGTCAGGACAATATAAGTGACACCAACTCTGATTCTACAGAAGATACAGCAGAGTCCAGCAGAGGAGACAGCAGTGGCCATTCAGAGGCAGAGGACAAAATTTTAAGTTGGAATCCTCTCATTTTATCACCCGTCTTGGAGGACTCTACTGAGAAGACAACATGGTCTCCTGGCGCTGCTCTAGATGGACTGTCAGGGATCCTTCAGCAAGCCCAGGAAACCTTAGGAGGTGTACAGGCTTCTCCGTGTTCTCACTGCAAGCCAGTAACTGTACAAAACAAGCCTGGGAACAAACTGTGTGAAGGACATTAATTCAAATCAGAGAAAATAATAATTTTTTTTGTGGTAGTGATGTCATGAATGCACCTTAAAACGTGTGCCCTTTTATATTATTTATGCCTTAAAATTTCCCTTTTCCATTTCTTCCTTCCTTCTCAATAGGAAAAAAATCCATTTTGTATTGTTTTCAATAATCTGGAGAGTAGAGGATCATTCTGTGTTTTCAAAAACTCTTAGTGGCAGTAGGAACTTGTGCCAGACACCATCTGGTTGCTCATCATCTGGGACGGAATTGCCTCAGGCCATTTGAAGTTTGCCACCAGTCACATTCTTAGATGGAAAACTGTCTTAATACCATGTTAGAAGCTTTCTGAGAACATCTGAAACCAACCACATTTGTGACCTAATGTTTATAATAGCAGATATGCTGATGAATTTTATGAGTTTCTAACTTCCTGTCTGTACCCAGGCACAAGCAATGTTCAGTCTTCTGGCTAGCCAGTGTTGTGAACATGGAAGCATGTAAAGTCTGTTTGGATTATTGCAGTATGCAGAAAGGGAACCAGGGCCCAAAAGAACTACATTAATTCATAAAATGGTCACCATGGGCCTCTTTACTATTTGCAGTGGTGTGTGCAAAGTAAGACTTTTTTTTTCTAATTTTATGTGTATGAGTGTATTGCCTGCACGTATGTGAGTGCACCCGTGTCATACAATGCCACGGAGGTCAGACGAGGGCTTCAGATTCCCCTGGAACTGCAAGAGCAGTCAGTGCTCTTAACCACTGAGCCATCTCTCCAGCCCCCAAAGTAAGACTTTTAAAGTGATGGCTTGAAAATAAGATGTTACACGTATTAAGAAGAAAGAGGAAGGCTGAAGTGATGTCTCAGCAGAAGTTCTTCAGTCTATTCCCTGGGATCGTGCTCATAGTGTTATACCACCTGAAGATTGCCCTTTTTGTCACTTCCATCATGGGCGATATCCTGGAAGATGTGAGTGAGCATGTGTTGGTCAGCCTTCTGCTACTATAGCAAAATATCTGAGACAATGAACTGATAGGGAGAAAAGGTTGTTTTGGCTCACAGTTTTAAAGGTTCTGGTCCATGATCAAATGGACCTATTGCTTTGGGCCTGTGGTGAGGAAGCCTGGCATGGTGGGCATGCATGGTGGAACAAAGCAGCTTATAAGCCAGGGTGAAAGGGGAGGAAGAGGAATGGGCAGGGTTTGCCAGTCCTCTCCAAGGGATGCCCTGATGACCTTGGATGGTGTACCCTTTTGGAGAAACAGAAAATTATTCTCTTTATGTGGAATCAAGCAATTCCGTGATGTTTTTTTTTTAATATTTAGTTTTCCAGAGATTACAGTAGAAGAGAATAAGATACTGTACTAATCAACTCTCTATATAAATGTGTTATTCCCTTACATATATCTGTGTGTTTTATAAATAGAACTGTTAGTGAGAGTGAGCTGTTTTGAGCTGGGCCATTATGCAAGATTACTCCCAATAGAATATAGTGAATATAATTTCAGAGTTGGGCCGTAGGGCTCCTGTAGAAGCAAGTTCTACGATCCCAGTGTCTTGTAGTATACAAGATTTGCAGTTCGTTTTGGAGGGGTTAGCTGCATCCCTTATTTCTGTTACTAACAAAGGACAAAGGCTTAGTACACAGAATATGAAAACTTTTCTGTTTTGCCAGTCAAGTTACAACAAACTGTCATAGACAGTTTTAGAAACATGTCTGTGGGCAGGCATTCATTGTGACTTGTGAAACAGGTGTGAGCCTTAGGTCAGAAACTGCTTTTAAAGATTGGATTTGACTATGGGACTTTCACAAGGAAAATTACTTTATCTTTAGGGCAATCTCATTGTGGACTGCTTTATTTATGTAATTAGTAACACTGTTTTAAGTGTTATCATTTTGTCTTTTATTTATAAAAATGCCTTTATATATTGATATATAAATATAAATATAAAAAAAGATGTTCAGCTCTCTGTTCCCCCAGAAAAGGATGTAAAATCCAATAAAATAGAGGCTTCCTTTGAGTCACTTTCACTAACTGCATTCTGAGGATGAGGAAGAACCCCTCATTTTGTGGGAACAGGTAAAAATGAAAACCTTTCATTTTTTTGCAGCCGCAGTCACTGAGCCTCTGTAATAAAAAAATAGACTCAGCCTTCTACAGATGGCAGCTCTTTTAAGATCTGGAAAGGAATGTTGCTTTCACTTTTGCAGAAAGCCTTGCTAAAGGCTTGGGAGAAAGGGGAGGATATTTCAGGCTTTACTTGTTACCCTGTCATTCAGCAAAGAGATGCCCAAGGCCAGCAGCAAAGAGTGTATCAATCTATTCCTTTCAAAATCATAAAGGAATTAAAGCAGGCCATGGGTCAGTATGGACCAACGGCACCTTTTACTATTACTTTATTAGACTCACTGGCTGCTGATGCTTTGCCTCCCTCAGATTGGCATAATTTTGCCAGAGTTTGCCTCTCAAGAGGGAGACTTTTTATTATGGAAAAGTAAATATGTTGAATGAGGTGTGGAACAGGCAGAGGACAATCGGACAAATAATTTAGAAGTCACTACTACTGATGTACTGACTAGAAATGGACCTCATCATGGAGTTAACAATCAATTAAATTACTCTCTGTATTCTTAGCAACAGATTAACATTATTGCTATGCAGGCTTTGCAGTGTTTGCTCATTACCAGGAAAAAAACTGAGGACTCAATGTCTCACTTTCAATGGAAAGTCCTGCCTCAAGAAATAGCTAATAATAGTCCTACTTAATGTCAGAAATATATTTCTGCTAATCTTGCTCCCTTATCCAACACTTTTCCTCATGTAATGCTTATATACTATATAGATGATCTTTTGCTTGCTTTTGAATCCATGTCTACTTTAACTGAGAGTTATTTACTCTTACAGGATCTTCTAAAACAGGCTAGTCTCATAATAGCCCCAGAAAAAATTCAACAAACTTCTGCCTCCCGAGTTGGGATTAAAGGTGTGTGCCACCAGGCCTGGCCTTTTTCTTATCTAGGATACATTATAACAAATCATACTATTTTCCACAGTGACTACAATTACGAAAGGATGCCTTGCTCATGACTTTCAAAAACTCCTAGGAGATATTAACTGGTTAAGACTATCTCTAAAACTACTTTTCAACTTTAGCCTCTTTTCCAGATTTTAGGAGGAAATGCAGATCCATCCAACTCGAAATTCACCCCTGAAGCTTCTGAAGCCCTGTCATTAGTGGAAGAAGCCATTAATCAAGCATAACTCACTAGAATTGACTCCCGTAAACCCATTTCTCTTATACTCCTTCCTACTGACAAATATCCTACAGCTATTTTACAGCAGGATCATGGACCTTTGGAATGGGTCTTCCATCCACAGACAAAAAAGGTTATAACTACATATTTAGAATTAATTTGTCAACTAATAACTCGAGGTTGACACTGATGCCTACAGGTTTGGGGATGTGACCCTGCTGTCATTTTTCACCCTTACTCTAATGAAAATTTCAGCTCTGGGAACACTATACTCATCGGCAGATTGCAGTAGCAGAACTTTTGGGACAGTTTTCTACTAGTTACCCTTCTAATCAGCTTTCACAATCTGCTGTTCAGCATGTTTTCATCCTGCCTCGAATCAGCTAAACATTGTATTCAGCATTGACTCCATGCTTTTGCCATATCAGGGCTGCACTGCATAGACTTTAGTAACATTTCAAAAATTTTGCACCACTTTTAAGATTTGTTGTAAAACGGAAATCCCATATTACAAGGACAAGGTATTGTTGAACACACGCATAGTATGTTAAACTATCAAATTGAAAAAATAAAAAGGGGGAACATGGTGCATATGATCTTATCAGCCCACATAATTTACTAAACCACTCCTTTTATTTTAAAAATTTTTTAACATTGATAACATTATTTGAACACATATAGAATTTTTTGAGTCAATTTTTAACACATTTTTCTGGAAATAACGTGAAGCAGGTTACATAAAAATATAAATACAATGAACTTTAAAGGGGGAAAAATAGGAATAAGAAATCAAAGACCAGGGTCTGGATAGATGGCTCATTGGTTAAGAACAGTGGCTGTTCTTGCAGAAGACCTGGGTTCAAATACCAGCACCCACATGGCAGCTAACAACTGTCTGTAACTCCAGTTCCAGGGGATCCAACAGCCTCTTCTGTCCTCCACAGGCATTGCATGATATGGGTGCACTTACCTACATGCAGGTAATACACACATACACATAAAAATAATCAATAAAATCTAAGAAAATAAAAAGAAATAAAAAACCAAAAGATTTGCCAACATGGGGTCAGCTCTGGTGGAGTAATGGTTTCCATTAGCTCTGTTATTTTTTTAAAATCCTAATGAGTTTATTGAGCTTGCTAACAGAGCACAGGGTGGGGGGTTATTTACAGAAGAGTGGGTGCCCCCACCTCCCACATTTTCAGTTGTGCTGGCAAGTCCACACTCAAATATAGATCCTGACAGCCCCACAAAATGGTGAGATGGGTGCCTCATAGCATTCTTGACTTTCCTTAGTTCCTCCCCCACACGCAGTTAAGGTTGACTGATTGGGTTGTAGGGGTAACTGACTCCCCCCTTGACTCTGATGCACATGGGAAAGAGGTGTGACTGTAGCTTGCCCACATAGTGGTAGGAGGACACTTCCAGTTAACACTCCACCCCTTCCTCCTGCTCTTACATTCTTTCCACCAACCTCTTCCACAAAAGTCCCTGAGCCTTGGAGGGTGTGGTAGGTGCAGGATGATCTTCCTCCCATTGTGGCAAGGCACTGAACTTTTGGGTCTCTGCATCATCTCTTTTCCATGGACTGTTGGCCTGTTTCATTGGGATTCCATCTGCTATAAAAGTACAAACAGCAAGAAGCAAGACCATCTAAACAGTGGCTGTTACAATAACTTAACCTATGGTGTCACACATCTGCATATTCCATTCGTGTTTTAAAACATTTTTCATAATCTTTGCTTGAGTGGTCAATTCTTCTTCAGCTTTATCCTCCAGTATTGATATTCTGTTTTCCATGTCATTCATTCTAGTGGTGAGGCTTTCTCCTGTTGTTTCAAATTGGCTTGATTTTTCACTTCCTTTTCCATTTCAACCTGCATTTTCTTCAGTATTTCTACCTCATTTGTGAATTCACTCAGAAGTTTATCCCTATCTTTAGTTTTTTTGTGTGTATTCATTAAATTCATTGAATTCCCTGATCATGTTTATGATTGTTCTTTTAAACTGTGTCCTGGGTTATCTCTAGGTGGTTTTCCTTGTAGAACTTTTCTACCAGACTGGTAGAGTTTGGGAACATGCAGTTTTGATTTTTCCCTGTTATTATTTTTCCAATGCAATTATGGCATGTGGATTTCTTTTGTTGTGATTCTGAAATGAAACTCAAGACTTCCCTTGTTGTATTGAAGTCTGTTTCTGTTTGTATTATTGGTGTGCCTTTGTTGTTTTCTTATTAGGTATATAAAGCTGCTTGGTCTAGGTTTCAGATTCTCTCAGATTTTATTTTGGAGGGAACTGATGGCTTCAGATCAGCTACTCAGGAGCTTCCACAGAGAGCCAAGTCAGGCTCCAGTCAGGTACATTCAGGCTTCCTTATAACAGTTTGGACCCCTACTAGCAGGTACTCAGTGCACAATTTGGGAAGTTTGCTAAGGGGAGTACTGATTTTGGCACTCTCATGGAATATGCTGAGTTCTCAGCCCCTACACCAGGTGGAGGCAGGAGCAGGCACTCTCTCAGACTTTCTGTTGAGTTCTCAGACTCTACTACACCAGCCATAGGCCAGATCAGGCACTCTCAAGCTGTCTGCTAAAGTCTCTACCATTTGGTAGGGCAGGTCTACTCCTGGGGCCCTGTAATCCCACTTAGGGGGTTGGATATGGCACTGATTAGGGAAGCTCACCACCACATAGCTGGATCCAGGTTCTCTCAGGAGGTCTGTTGAGGTCTCAGCCCCTACACTCAGCAGAGGCCACATTAGGCACTCTCATTTTAAAAAAATAAATGTTTTTGGTCTTTTTGGAGACAGGGTCTCCCTGTAGCCCCAGCTGGCCTGGATGCCTCTGCCTCCAGAGATGTGCCTACCTCTGCAGTCCAAGTGCTGGGACTAAAGGCGTGCACCACCATGCCCTGCTTATTTTAAATTTTTTAATGACTGATGCACATGGTCTCTCTCAAACTGAAAGGCACTAGGAGGGTCAGACTGCCCCTTGCAGATGGATTTGCTAGAAGGATCCCTTGACAGGAAAATGGCATCCTCCTGCTCTGTTATTTAGGTAAGGGGCTGTTTGTTTTTTCCGTAGGATGCCAGTGACTCTGGAATTGCTGCCTCAATGTTTCATCTGATAATATGAGGACCTACAAAAAGCTCTGGCAGAAGCACTTGATTATGAAGATGCAGTACCTGTCCATCAAGGGGAAGGTGAAAAAAGGAGATGGATCCTGGCCCAGAGCACCAGGGGAGCCAGCATTCCAACCTGGGGACAGATCAAAGCTCTTTGCCACCTTACTGTACATCTTTGGAGCTGTTTCCAGTCCTGTTAAGTGGTGAACTTCAGTGGTTTTGTGATCTGAAGCAGTTTGCAGTTAGTGCTTCAGTTGCATTTATGATCCCCTCTAATAATCACATCTTAAATACTGAATGCAGTTGGGTGTTCTGGCACATGCACATATCAATAGTTGAGAGTAAGAGGGAGGAATATTGCAGTATGATTGAGGGCAGTCTGCTCTACATAGTGAATTTCAGGAAAGCCAGGGCTGTGTACCAGATCCCTGTTTCAAATCCTCACCCCAAGAAGAGATGGAATGCTATGTGAAATAACCTGTTTTTTTTTTTTTTTTTCAGATGCATAGTTGTCCTGGGTGCCAGCTTCTTCTCTTGATGATAGATCTTTCAGTTGGTACAAACATTAGTATTTTGTTCACATATTCTTAGGTCAACATTGAGACTAAAGCAAAATAGGATTTGATAAAAGATCTTTGTCACAAGATGGATGGGAGCTACACTTCTGTGTACATAAAGTAGCAGTTAAATTACCTTAGTTATAAACTCTTCTCTTGTAAAATACCTTCTTCAGATTCATATGGAGAAGAAGGAAGCTCATATGACACGGACACTAAAAGGCAAATGAAGGGTTTCTTTCTGGCCAGAGAATGTTTTTGTTTGGTTTTTTTTTTTAGGGGGAGGTGTTTTTTTGTTTGTTTTTTTGAAAGTCTCCCTGTAGCCCCAGCTGACTTGGAACTTGCTTTGTTGATCAGGCTAGTCTTGATCTCACAGAGATCCACCTGCCTCTGCCTCCCAAGTGTGGGATTAAAGGCATGCACCACCATGTCCAGTTTAGTGAACTCTTGAAATAAGTAGTAATTACTTCATGTGGTCCTCATGGTTTCATTGACCTTCATAATTGTATAGTTTGTCATATTTTTAAGTGAACTACTAAAAAACAGGAAGTTCAGGAATGAGGGACTCAAAGGCTACTCAAAAACAATTTAGTGTGATGGGCATGTTACTTGACCGGCACTGGTTTTGTGAACATCACGTCAAAATACAAAATGTACATAGATTATATATAGACCATCATGCCCATTACACTTCAGTAAACTTGACAAAGTCAAATGCATCTAAAGCTTTGACAAGCATACTTCAATAGGCAAAATAAAAGAATTCATCAACTAATCATAAATCTTAATTTGCACAAGAAAAAGTTTATAAAAATGGAGTAGGGCAAACGTAATTTAAACAGCAAAATTTAATGCTATTAAAAATGAACACACCATAGAAATCATCAGCAATGCCAAATGTTGCTTGTTTTAATAGAATAATAAAGTGGAAAGGGCTCTGGTAAATTAGATTACGTTATGAGGTACTAAATATTCAGAACACATACATGCAGACTCATGGTTGACTCCACAGCATGTCTATGCTATGAAAGATGCATTTTAACATGGTCTCTTACACACACATTGGTGGTATAGTGTATGCTGAGTTAAGTCCACCACCACATATGAAGTACAATGATAGCCTTATGTCACATGATGGCATGTTATAAAGCTGCATGGACTTGGCAGTGATATGAATGCACACGTGGAACTAAATACAGAAATCTGTAAAAGGACCCTTGCCTTCCAGATATAAAAAATGAGACTGGACTGCAGAACAGTAGATTCCCTTTTAAACGGGAGGATCTGCATGTCAGTACTGTGGTGGCCTTTCTTTACATCCACAGCATTCACGTGATGATAAAGCAAACCTATAAGACATTCAAAAGTTCTTACTGGGAAGATTTCCTTCCAGATACACATGAAAAATTATAAATTACTTACACCTTGTAATATACTGTAATTACAATAATTTGACGTGACAAAATAGGATAAATGTAATGTCATAAAGATAACATGCTATTCATCGAACTTCACAACTGAAGGATAAAAAGAGAAATAAGACACTATGTGAAACTACCTCACATGTCATACAGGTCAAAGTACTTTTAAAAATTTATTTATTTTCTATGTGTATGAATGTATTGCCTGCATGTGTGTTAGTGCACCCGGGTCATGCAGTGTCCACGGAGGTCAGAAGGCATCAGATTCCCTGGAACTGGAGTTATGGAAGTTGCTAGCTGCCATGTGGGTGCTGGGAATTGAACTCTGGTCCTCTGCAAGAGCAGTAAGTGCTCTTAACTGCTGAGCCACCTCTCCATCCTGAAGTCAAGTACTTTTAAAATGAAAGGAAAAGAGCCCAGAACAAAAATGGGCAAAAGAATGACCACATTGTATAGACAGACATATGTAGGAGTTCAAGCATCAGAATTTATCTTCAACTGTTTAGAAATAGAAAAGCACTGTAGATACACAAATTAAAATAGTACTGGTAGCCAGGCATGGTGGTGCACACTTTTAATCCCAGTACTTGGAAGGCAGAGGCAGGTGGATCTAAATTGAGGCCAACCTAGTATACACAGCAATATCTAGACCAGTTAGGGCTACAGGGACACCCTTTGTGTCTCAAACACACAAACAAAAAATGGTGGGGGTTGCAAAGGGTCAACAGTTAAGAGCCCTTGTTGCTCTGGCAGAGGACCCAGGTTCAGTTCCCAGAACCCACAGGCAGCTTGACACTGCTTGAAACTCCAGGTGCAGGGTATCCAACACCTTCTTCTGGCCTCTGCAGGCACTTCATGGATGTATGTACATGTAAGTAAATACTCATACATTTAAAATAAAATTTAAAAACCTTTTAAAAAAAGTATCAGTAGCAGGGCATGATGGCACATGCCTTCAGTCCCAGCACTTGGGAGGAAAAGGCAGGAGGATCTCTGTGAGTTCAAGGTAAGCAGCCTGGTCTACATAGTGAGTTCCAGGTCAGCTGGGGATACAGGGAGACCCTGTTTAAAAAAGACCAAGAAAAAAAAAGTGTCAGTGAAGAGTTGGAATAAATGGATACTATGGAACTGAAAGTGGAATATAAGTGATTATCCATTTGGGAACACTCCCATCAGTGGCACAGAAATACGGAAATTTGTACCCCAGTGTGCGATTACAACATAGAATACAGCAATGTTGTTCTAGAGATAAAACCCTGTGAGCTCAGGCAAGAACATTCACAAAATGATAAAAAAAAAAGTGTGGAAAGATCAGGTTTACTTTGATGACTCCAATTACACATGGGCACATGATGTTTACTCCATTTTCAATTTATTTGCAGCTTTTTCCAATTATACTGCAGGAGTAGGTTCAGTTTATCTACAATGTATTTACTATCAAGAGGAGTGCTTTTACAACAGCAAACTTACACCCTTGTGAGAAAAGTACTTGGCAACTGGAGTACAGAGCGTGCAGTTTCTGGGATTTGCACAGTTCAGTCAAAAGCTGCATTTATGTTAATTAGCTCAGCATCTTTCATCACTCCTTCAATATGAGCATGGCCTTCATATATAATCTTATTGTTACTGTGTCCTGACCGCTGCCATTCTCCTAACATCCTGGTTGATTGTTAAAATTCTGAATGCAGCAGTATTCCTTCATGCAGTTAAGTGGCCTTCGGTGACTATGGAGTCACATATCCATGTTCACATTTCATCTTGTATACACCGTCTCGTACAGGTCCATTTGTAGGCTTCTTGTGGTTACCGTTGACCACTGTCTGCTCATTGTAATGTAATATAAACATTATTTTGTAAGGCAAAGCTACTGGTATGACACTTCCTTCACTTGCAGGAACGCATTTCATACTTCTTTATCTCCCACTTCACAAGGCTCCATTGGAATCTCTCTCCTGCTCACCATGAATCTTGTATGAAACTCACTGCCTTCTGCACATCAGCCAAGTGCTCTACTATGCATTAGATCCAGTCTTTTAAAGATTGTTACTTTTTTACTGGATTATTTTCTATTTATTTATTCTACTTACCAGCATTTATCAACACCTGAATAATGGAATTTTTTGGTTTTTGCACCTGTAAAAAATGCTTTTAAATTTCCATCACCAGCATTTTATTTATTTTTTTGGTCTTTTTGAGACATGGTCTCCCTGTAACCCCAGCTGGCCTGGAACTCACTATGTAAACTAGGCTGGCCTTGAACTCTGAGATCTGCCTGCTTCTGCCTCCTGAGGGCTGGGATTAAAGGTGGGTATCAACAGACCCAGGAGACATATACTTAATTTTAAAGGAACTGCCAAACATTCTACAAATTTACTACCCTATCAGTGGGTATTACTAGCCCTCTGGGACTCAGAGACCGAACAGCACTTCACTGTACTATTCTGTCACATTTGTGAATACCATAGAGACTTGTATTTTAATGTCTCCTATGTCACTCTTGAAGGAATACTGATGAATACATAACCTCACTTTCCCCTTTGTGTTTCCTGTGCACTTGAGGTATAACCCTATTGAAAAGCTCTCTACTGTTGTCATATTACTATGCTTATCACAGTCCCTATTTAAAATGTGTTTTTTCCTGGATGCTTTAGTTTGTTCATCTTTGAACTTACTAGTATTAAGTGTGGGGAACCTACATATATTTTATATGTACTTTATTAATGGGTGGTTGTTTAAACTGCATGTATGAAAAAGCAGATGTCCTGCCAATTTGTACTGTCAGCTCTTTGCATTCTTATATTTTCTGTCTCTTGTTTCCCTGGGATTCATTTAGCCCACACTAAGTCTTTTTAATTTTTTTCAAGTGTTTTTCACTTTCTCTGAGTGGATTATTCTACTGATCTGCCTCTGACATGCTTTTGTTTCTAATGTCATAAGTTCTAGAGAAACATTCATTTCATTCAATTTCAGTTTTTAAAAACACACCTTCAACTGTTCTCAGGTTTCACATTTACTTATTCATTGTGAGATTTGCCTTCATACTCCAGAAGGCCGATGACACCTGTGAAGACAGGTGCAGGGTGATGGTCTCCCAGAATTTTTACTTAAAATAGACCCTGCCATACAACCTATAATATAAACTATGCTCCATCTTGAGTTTAAAAGCTCCCATTAGTTGTTTAGTTGTCTGTTTCTAGTCCCGTCACAAGACCTCTTTTGGCCTTTATAATTTGTATCTAGACACTCTTAACAAATGGACAGTGCAGGTGTGGGCACAGGCATGTTGATCCCTGGCAGTCAGTGATTACCACCTTCCCATCACTCCCCCGCACTTTATGACACAGATGCACATCATCTACATTTTTCTAAGCATCATGATATTACCATGTTACACAAGCAGCAAAGTCGACTAAAATCCCCAACATCACTAATTCCCATTCCACCCTCTACCATTTGCACTCTGTCCAGGATCCTGTGTAGCCCGATGTATGTGACAAAATGTGGGGCTTTGGGCTGAAAAACACAGAAACTGGATCATAAACCCAAACCCTCTCTGAATACAGGCAGGGAACATCAGGACTCACATACTGGCCATCTACATTTCTCTTGGACTAGGTGGGCACACATTTCCTTTGATTCACCCACACTTAGGGGTTGATTCCAGCTTGGTGAAAATATTACACATCTTTGCAGTCAAGCACTTCACCTCAGAAGCTTTAACAACTGGGTGATGTGTATCTTATGTCTAGACTACGTCACTCAGGAAAAACAGACAATAAAATCCCAGGCCACACTCTCAGTTCTGAGATTCTGCTGAAGGGGCTTACTTGTCTATGTGCTGAGATTTGGAGGCTCAGCAGTGGTGCTCTCTCCTAAGCCTCAGTAAGATTCCTTCTCTCAAAGCTCTGACTTCAGGATCACTCACATCCATATAATCATTCATGAGTGGCCAGCATCTCCAAATCAGTAAGGAAGGTGCCAAGGAAAGGAAGAGTACTGTGCCACCACAGTAGTGATAATGAACATGCACACTTAGGTGCCTATTCAAGGCCCATAAGAATGCTGCATTAAAAATACATTAACTTAGCCGGGCATGGTGGCACAATCCTTTAATCCCCAGCACTTGGGAGGCAGAGGCAGGCAGACTTCTGTGAGTTCAAGGCCAGCCTGGTCTACATAGTGAGTTCTAGGACAGCTGGGGCTACAGGGAGACCCTGTCTCAAAAACACCAAAAAAAAAAAAAAAATCACTAACTTGTTTCCTGGACATCTACCTGGATGTTGGGAGTTCCTGGGACCTTAGCTGCCTCCCTCCAACTTTCTTACTCCACTCCTTCAGGGTATATTGCAAGAATTCTTGTAAAAAGCTACTAATGTAGCCAGAGGTGGTGGCATAGGCCTTTAGTCTCAGCACTTGGGAGGTAGAAACAGGGGGATCTCTATTAGATTGAGGCCAGCCTGGTCTACATAGTCAGTTCCAGGCCAACTAGGGCTACAGGAAGACCCTGTCTCAAAAACAAAACAAGAAGCTACTAATGCAAATGGTAACTGTTTCTAAACATATCTCAACATGTTACCTTTTGAAATCAGTAACTCTTACCCAAATGCAGTCTAAGCACAGGACTTCAAGTCTCTTGCTCTAGTCTCTGCAGTGGAGGAATAATCAAGTGACATGGAAAAGGTGGCAAAGACTGGAAGGAGGATTACTGTGCTTTTGACTTAGAGGGATCTAAAATAGCAAAATAGGATGTGTAGTAAGTTCTAACTCCATTGTCTTCTTTGAGCCCCAACCTCCCACTGACACACTCCCAACCTCCCACTGACACACTCATCTTGTACTGCCACACTCATCTGGGCTGAGGATTCATTTAAACGGTGACCATCACTTAGATTCCCTCTCAGAGCTGGAAAATGGGAGTGAATCTTTTTTCTCTTCTGCTACTTACAGCACTGTCCCTTGACATCAGACTATGTATTTCTGGCTAAAGTGAAGAAAATTAACTTAATGTGACACGAATGAAGTCTGACCTCAGCATATCTTTGTTCTGTGTGGTAGATGAGGTACATACTAAATGTATTTGACAAAGACCTCATGTACTCCTAAGTATGCTTGTTGTTATATGTAGAAGTAGCAGTTAGGACTCTGGAAGCTTCTATTTGTACTCAAATCATAAAGGCCATAGTGAGCTCAGTTTTAGGGTGAGTTAAGACAGGGTAGACAACTACTACAAAACCAATCCATGAGACCTTGGAGAATGTTGCCTCTTGCAATGGTCTTTCAGGAAGCACCTGCTGCCATGTGTCTCATTTGTTAAGATAGCTAAGACTGTACGAGCATCACATTACTGGGAAGTTACCCCACACTTGCCCAAAATATCTGCTTCTTTATAAAATGCTGACCCTTTAAATTTCCTCTAATAACCTAAGGGGCATGTGCTGGAAGTCTCAAACCCACCAATATGATTACTGCAAGGGATAATGTGAAAAATCCTATAAAAACCTGTTTGTATTTCTTGTCAGGGTCTCAGTTTCTTTAGAGCAAATGTTTTTCCCAAACTAAGGCCCTCACATAATAATGAATAATGCCCTCCACCTCCTGAGTATGATCTGAGTCTTCTTGATGGGACAGGTCAGCCTGTGGCTAATTCCTGTAACTATACCAAACTGGTACAGGGCTACTGCCACCAACACTGTGTTGGGATAGAATATTTGATCCTACTCTAACATTTGCTTGGTACATTATTGTGGGCTTTGGCCCTGGATCACCTTCCACATCTGGGAAGTGTGGTATTAACTACACAGGCCTCTTAACGATCACTTCTCTAGGGATGATCAGAGAACAAGCATTGTTGTCTCCTAAGCCACTCATTGCCACACTGAAATAACCAGCTGGAAATACAGCATCTTTCCTCTTTCTAGATAAGAAACCAGAGACCACATATCATTTAGTCTTCAGCAGGCCCACAAGAGAAGCCATGCCACCTACGAGGTATGTGTCCTATCCCAGTGCATCATGCCTCAGCACCACCTCTCAAATATGTTGCATTTCTATGCATAATTTTGTAACAACCCAGGCTCACCGATAATTGGAGAAGATATGATGTCTCTAGCCTTGAATCTCTAATGTCCCAATAAGCATGTGGCATAATCACCTAAATGTTGGGATTAAACAAGTACCACTGTGTGTAACAAATTTGTTATTTGTATGGAGTCTCTCACCTGCATGACTTGGCTGATGTAGAGTGTAGACTGACAACTTATCAAAATCTTTTGAGAATTTTCTGTTCTTTAATAGGAAACCTTAATTTTCTTGAGTTTTGCCACATCAGCTGATTGCTCTACTTTGGAAATTTCCCATTTTTTATATTCACAGGGTTGCTCTTCTGCATGTGTCACCAACTAAGATTTGACATATTGAAAGCTTTTTACTGTTGAAATTAAAAGTAGAGAGCTTTCCTACATTCTCTACAGATTTGCTGTCTCATAAGAACATGGGTTTTCTGATGAGGAAGGTCTCCCTGTAGCAGCAAGTCTTCATGCATCCTCTGCTTTCTTCGGTCTCATGTACAAGCATTCTCTGATGTTGAGTACTCTTACTGTAAGCTTTCATGCCTTCTTCACATTCTTAGAGTGTCTCATCTGAGTTTACTCATATTGTATGAGGTGTGTTATGAAGGTTAGATTTCCTGTATTATGTACATTTATAGGATTTCTCAACTCTAAGAATTCCCTGGGATGCAATGAGGGCTGACTTACAGTAGAAAGTCTTACTTCATTATTTATTTTCATGGGGTTTGTCACCTGTATGATATTTCTGATGTTGGCTGAGGTGTGAGTTGGAGGAAAACATTTTTCTCTCTTTTTCATGTTGGTACCATGTTTATGACTTCCCAGATGTCGTGCGAGTCCTGACTTGCAGAAAAAAGCCTTCCTACAATCTTTACACTCATAAGGTTTCTCACCTGTATGAATTCTATGATGGAGAGTTAAGTGTGACTTGCGGCAGAAACATTTACCACACTGTTTACATTCATAGGGCTTTTCACCTGTGTGAATTCTATGATGTGCGGTAAGTTCTGACTTGGAGGAGAAGGCTTTCCTACATTCTTCACATTCATAAGGCTTCTCACCTGTATGAGTTCTGTGATGGCGAGTTAACTGTGACTTATAGAAGAAAGCTTTGCCGCATTCTTTACAGTCATAGGGCTTCTCACCTGAATGAGTTCTCTGATGTGCCGTGAGGGTCGACTTATAATAGAAAGATTTCTGACATTCTTTACATTCGAATGGCTTCTCACCTGTATGAATTTTCTGATGTACACGGAGGGTTGACTTGCAGAAAAAGGCTTTATCACATTTGTCACATTCAAAGGGCTTCTCGCCTGTATGAGTTCTCTGATGTGCTGTAAGTTCTGACTTGGAGGAGAACGTTTTCCTGCACTCTTCACATTCATAAGGCTTCTCACCTGTATGAGTTCTGTGATGGCGAGTTAAGTTTGATTTGTAAAAAAAAGCTTTGCCACATGCTTTACATTCATAGGGCTTCTCTCCTGTATGAATTCGCTGATGCTCTGTGAGGGTTGACTTATAATAGAAAGCTTTCCAACACTCCTTACATTCATAAGGCTTTTCACCTCTATGAATTTTCTGATGTACAGTGAGAGTTGACTTGCGGTAGAAAGCTTTACCACACTCTTCACATTCATAGGGTTTCTCACCTGTATGAGTTCTGTGATGTGTAGTAAGTTCTGACTTGGAGGGAAAAGCTTTCCAGCATTCAGTACATTGATAGATCTTCTCTCTGGTATGAGTTCTCTGATGTTCTGTGAGTGCTGAATTATAACAGAAAGCATTCTGACAGTTCTTCCACTCATAAGGTTTCACACTTGAGTGATACGTGTCACTCTTGCTGTGCTGTGATGTCAGGTTAATCGTTTTTATGCATTCATAAGATTTTGCACCTGGATGGATTTCCATTCCAATCTTCATTTCTGCCTGCAGACCAAAAAAAATAAAATTTTTTTGTTAAAGATTTTATACCAACAGGGCTTTTTATGAGTATGTACATATGTTCTGTGAGAATAATAATTTTTAAACAAATAATTTTTAAAAATATTTTTCACAAAAGCTACATTTATAATGTCTACCCCAGTGTGTACTTTATCATTTTCTATTCTTTTATTTAAAAAGATAGTTAGTACTTTTAATTATGGGGCTGGAGAGATGGCTCAGTGGGGGATCTGATGCCCTCTTTGTCCTCCATGGGCATTGCATGACAAGGGTGCACATATATACATGCATGCACACTCATATACATAAAAATAAAAGTTTCTCTGGAGATTCTCTTCCGTGTGTGTGTGTGTGTGTGTGTGTGTGTGTGTGTGTGTGTGTTGCCCACAGAAGCCACAGGAATCAGATTCCCTGGGAATGGGAGTTACAGGTGGTTGTGAGCCATCTGAAGTGGGTACTGTATTTAGGAGAGAATTCTTTATATTCTTAAAATTTTTCATACAGCACTAACACTGTCTTTGTGTAAATGCATATCCCTGGTGAAATGTATTGAATAGAATAATCTGAACTTTGATTCTTGTCTGGGACTAAGGTGCTCAGGATGACAGAGGAGTTGCTCAGTTACATTAACACTGTCAGGTTCTTCCCAAGTCTGCATCTTACCAGGCTCACTATGGACAGTAGTACATTCTGTCGTGGGTTAAAATCCCAAGGAAACATGACTTAAGTGTTTCTAATCTTTGTGGAGTTTCTAATCTTTGTGGAGTTTCTTTGGTCTTTTTGAGACAGGGTCTCCTTGTAGCCCCAGCTGGCCTGGAACTCACTATGTAGGCCAGGCTGGCCTTGAACTCACAGAGACCTGCCTGCCTCTGCCTCCAGAGTGCTGGGATTAAAGGCGTGTACCACCATGCCTGGCATGTTTCTAATCTTTTATGTTCAGATTCAAAGTATCATTTGTGCTCACACTAATGTTTTACCTACTTCAGCCATCTCTTCACTTGATGGATTACTGTTGGTGCTTCCCACTTGCCACACATGTCTTGGTTGGTTGTCCAGGCAACTGTTACTAGGGGTATATACTTTAAGAGCACCTGAAATAGTATTAAAAATATCACTATCCACAAATCAAAAATAATATTGTTCATGTAATTCAAACATAAACATGAATTGCTAACTTTAGTAAGCATAAAATCTTATTGAGTATACACACCAGTCCATAATAAATATAACAAAGTACACTAGGATATGGCAGTACTAATGAGTATACACACCAGTCCATAATAAATATAACAAAGTACACTAGGATATGGCAGTGCTAAGTCATGCTTCTTTTTGCTTCCTTATACTCTTTGGAAATATGTGCAGGTAAGTTATTTCCCTACTTCTCAGCTATTATTTTCTACACACTAATTCTTAAGTGCCACTTTTACTCATGTTCCAACCCTCCATTACATTAATATACCCAAAAAGAGTAGTCAGGGAGAAACAGTCAAGACCAGAGCACAGATTAATGCACTAGAAATGAAAAAGACAAAATAAAGAGCAATGCAATGAAGAGGTGATTCTTTGCGATTAAAACAAAAAGGAGACTCAAATTAATAAAAGTAGAGGTAAAAAGGAGATATTACAACAGATGCCAATGAAATACAGAGGGTCTTAAGGCCATACCTCATAAACCTCTATTCCATAAAATTGGAAAATCTAAAAGAAATGAATTCCTACATGCACACAACATACCAAATTAAGTCGAGATGAAATGATTTAAATAGATCCATAACCAGCAATAAGGTTGACACAGGAATAAAGTCTCACATCCAAGAAAAGACCAGAGCAGATGGATTTACTACAGAATTCTGATAGAATGTCAAAGAACTAAGACCAAGACTACTCAAATTATTCCATGAAAGAAAATTGGAAGGAAGGCTTCCAAATTCTTTGTATGAAGCCAGTATCATCTGGATATAACAGGGTAAAGAGAAAATGAAAAAAGAAAATTACTAAGGCTGCAGAGATGCCTCAGCAGTTAACAGTATTGGCTGCTCTTGCAGAGGACCTGGGTTTGATTCCCAGAACCCACATGGAGGCTAACAACCATCCATAACTCCA